CTATTATAAGTGGCAGCGCTGAACGGACATCTGTGCGAACCCGAGAAAGGTCGCTGAAAGGATCAGAAGAGCCGACGAACATTAATCTATATCACATTGCTACAATCAACAACACCTTTTGCAAAACCTTTCACTAACAACAGAAATCCGATTCCAAGGAATATTCTAAGTCTAATTAAAAAAGTACGCAAAAGTACGTAATGGTTTGGTAAGCCGTAAAAATACGGCTCTGGCAAACCAACCGCAGACATAACCTTAAAGCAAAAATCAAAAAAATTAGGAAGAACAATAAAAAATAAACTAATTCAAGTTCGAATTAACAATTCTTAAAGTTCCATAACTTAGATTCACCCTAATAGCAGACCACTCTGGTCAACCATAAAAAGAATCCATGTAAAGAAACTACTGACATTACTCAAATATAGTTAAACACAACTCAAATATAGTTTGTATGGATCATATGAAAGCCAACATGTTAGGTAAATATCTGCAAAACTGTTTTAGTCCAAACACAAATGCAAATTCTACTTATAATTATACTGCAAGAAATTCCCTATTACGAGAATATAATGTCCCAGATAAAATAAAATGTATAACCCCATCCGAAACTTCTAAAAGTATTAAGCAATTGAAAACCTGAAAATCAGCTGGTCACGATCATATTAACAACAGAGCTCTTAATGAATTACCCAAAAGAACAATAGCTATTTTAACCGCTTTATTTAATTCCTATCTAAGACTGGGCTACTTCCCAAAAGATTGGATTTTTTAAATAATTTTACCCTTTTGTAAACCAGGCAAAGATCGCTTTCCTTCCTACAAGATACAGACCAATAAGTCTCCTACATTCAATCGCAAAGGTATTTGAAAAATTGATTCACAGCAGGGTTTCTTCATACATAACTAAAATTTAGCGCTATCCCAGACTTTCAGTTCGGATTCAGATCATAACATAGCACCACCCACCAGCTGCTCCGATTAACCGAATATATAGCAAATTCATTTTACAGTAAGAAATACACAGTTGCAGTTTTCCTAGACATTGATAAACTCTGGCATGAAGGTCTTTTGTACAAACTGCACCAACTAGGAACTCTCAAGTAACTACTCCATTTAATCAGAAGTTTTCAAAAAAATATATATTTTCTGTGTGCATTAACTCAAGCCTCTCAAACAGATATGAAGTTAATGCAGGAGTCCCTCAAGGTTCTTGCCTTTCTCCCCTTCTCGGTTTACATGTGGGATTTACCAGTCAGACTACATAGAAACTGCCTTTTATGCAGATGACACAGCACTTTTCACCTCTAATTCAGACATTAACTGCACTTTCGACAACATACAGATCGACCTAAATAATTTTATTAAATGGGCCACAAACTGAAAAATAAAGATAAACGCATCTAACACTGAAGCCAAAATTTTCACACTCCGTAAACTTCCTCATCCACTCCTCCTCTGCTTTCACAACACAAATTTTGAATGGATGAATAGAAATACATCAGAAAAATATTTAGGAGTACTACTTGGCACTAAGCGAAACTGGAAGCAACATATCAAATATATAGCAGATTAAACTTATTCAACAATATCTAAACTAGATCCAATAATAAATTCAAATTTCGCACTTAGCACTGACTGCGGCTTAATCGTCTATAAAACCTTATAAGACTAACCGTCACATATCGCCCGATCTGGAACAACTCAACACTAACCAAACTAAATAAAATAGAAGAATACAAAAAAATATTTCTCAGAAAAGTCATTAAAGCCCCTTGGTTCATAAGCAATACGCAAATCCAAAACGAACTAAATAGATCATCCGTTAACGACTATATAAATCTTATGACTCATAAATTTTTCTCGTCTCTTCTCCAATCGCGCAGTACTACAATATTCCAACTAGGTAAAACGGATAGTTCATCAAAGAAAATTAGATCACGATTCCCTAAAGTCTCCCTTCGTCCGCCTTAAATAATTAAGCCATATTCCCCTTACCTAAAATTCCACTCACTAACAGCCCCTTAAAAATCATCACAACTCCCCACAGTTTCTTTCACTGGCTAATTAAGATGTATCATCAGACCCCTGAGAAAGGAAGTAAGGCAAGCGGATGTCCATCCCTCAAAGTTTATGTGTAAATTTTTTATAATGAATTCCCCTCAAAGGTCGAAATGCCAAGCAGGCAGAAATAAAAAAGAAAATCAAATAAAACAGAGTGTGTCCATCTTTTCTTTCTAGTATCTTTTTGCCATACTGCGCGCTTTGCGTATTGGAAAATGTGACACGGAAGATTGCGAGTTCTCAGAACGTGTGACACGGGAGATTTCGTACGAGCCGTACTCAGGAAGTTCACCGCATAAACAAAAATGATAAATATAAGAACTGTAAGTCTGACATGAAAAAAACTATTCATGATGGAAATACGTCTTTGGAATGTAATACAATCAGTACAAGTTAGTCTAATCGTTTTGAATAAATTGAGAAAAATCATTAAAAAATAGATTTGTTGTGGATCGAAATCCTCATGACACACCTACACCCTCCACTGATGTTGTACCACTATAATGATAGAGTATTGATTCAGTAAGTACCTGGTCTACAATGATCTCCCTCCCTTACACATTTTGATACTGTTCTACCTTGGTCTTCAATAAATATACCTAATAAATAGGAGGTGATTAGAACCAGAGATCACCATCCCAACGACAAGCTCTACCCACATGACGTGGTGTAGCACACTCAGTTACCAGCTGGTAAGTTGGGCACTCAAGACACCAGTCTGTTTAGTACTGCCTTCTGATTGCTATCACTAGAACTACATTTGGATTACCCATATCTTTCGGTAGGAAGGCTTGGCATAGTCTCATAAAAAGTACAATTGTAGTATTGTACAAAGTACAATTGTTGTAGTATTGGAGGAGATGGGTCGCACCCCGACCTGAGAACTACACCTGACGTTTGGCCCGGCAGTGGCCCTAATCATATCCGAAAAGAAAGACCGGCAAGCCGCGAATCGAGGCCTGAGACCTTAAACTCTTCCTGTCCCATGTTGGATTTTAAGAGTCGCAGCAAAGTTGCAACATTGCGAATATGAGTGATGTGAAACAATAAGAGTGATTGCGTATGTCATTCCGAGTGCGTTATTAACTTAAGTTATGAGATTGTGAATATGTGTTTATTGTGTAACTGAAAATGTTCATAGCGGCAGTAGGAAGACCGGTATTCAGGCGCTACCCCTATGACACTATAATCTACTACTTAACAAATTCACTTTTGAAAAACTGGTGTTGTATAGCAACTCTTTATGTGAACGGAAAACAAAGAAAACAGAGATAATTGATGATATTGAGATATACATAAACAGATAATGAAAATTTGAATTGTAAGACCTTAACTTAAGACATAAAACTACCATTTACACGTATTTACAGAGTATTAAGATATCTCAAAATAGTGTATTTTTTCGGGAGTGTCTGTGTTCTTCCCCGCCTGGATTGTAATATCTCGCGCCGACCTATTTGTCGGCTCGCAGGTCTTCCGCTTCCTGGTATTTCCTCGAAGGAGCACCGCCATTCGCCGGGCATGTTATAAGCTTGTGCAGTTGTGTGGTGCATTTACGTGTAAGACAGTTTGTAAGAGAGAGGGGAGAACGAGACCGTGAGAAGTATCGTGCGCAATCCAGATCCGATCGTTTTGTCGGGGTACTGCTCCGACATTGACTTTCGATGGATCGGAGGAATCACGAAGAAGTACTGATCACGGCAGAAGCTGTTAAAATTCTCCACCAGACAGACTAACCGTCGAAACTCAAATTTTACAACCTCCCGGTTAACGATGCAGCAGACACAACGAGCAATCCAGCCCAGACCTCCATACTAGAGCCCACTATATGAGCGAGAGAGGGTAATTCGATGGTGTTCCGGTAAAGGCAGTTAAATCATTTTTTGTGAAGGTGGAGATATGTTATTTAGTGAGTTATTCATGATGAAATCTGCTATCTACATGAAAAATGTATTGCTAAAATGAAATTAAATTAACGTTTCTGAAATATATACTTTTATCACAAAAAAAAATTTCTATTTTTAATCGATTGATGTTTCCGGGCGCATCAACTGATGTCATCATTAGTACCGTAAGTGTAGTGAATGTTTTTATCCCTGTAAGTGGTGGTGTTTCTCCCACACGAGTAGTGAGATCTGGCTCCGAACTTGCCGTCGACTTGCGGAGTTTCCCTTCCGATAAGAGCCCCCCAGTGAAGCATCGTCCCAGTTGGGACAAGCTCTAAGCTCTTGACTGGTCTCCAAACATGTGGTACTGTAGTGCTTGTACGTGTGTTTGTGATTGACTGGTGATGATATAACAAGGAAGGGGAACAATCGCGCAGGGCCTGCGGCCCTATGGGTTGTTAGCTACTTCTCCGGCACTCGCGTACCAACATGGATGCCTCAGGTCATCAACTGATGTCTGACCGTAAGGTTCTAGAGTTTGAGTTCTGACGGAGACAGGATTTTCGACACTACGTTGCTAGATCGAATTCAGTCGCAGTCTGGAGAACAATTGTAGCTCTAGGCTGTTCTGATCGGTAATTTTTCATAGTTTTTCCGATCAAAACCACGCGAATGCCGGAGGAGTAGCCTAACACACGGGCCACGGACCGCGCGCCATCTTTCCTTCCTCTTCCTTGTTCTATCCGTTACTCACACGCTTACGCTCACATGCACTACACTACCGCAGTTGTTGAGAGCCTAGAGCTTGTCCCGGTTGGAACGGTGCCCCGTTGGTGGGAGATACTTGGTCGGGAAAAACCTCCGCAAGCCGACGTAGGTGGACGCCGAATCTCGCTCTGCAGTGGAGGAAAATCACCGCCCCTCTCGCGATGTGAACATGAACTACTCTTACGGGAATAATGACCTTTGACGTTGACGCCCGGAATGATTTTTTAGTCAATCAATCAATGCGGAATTCGCTTGCGACTGATCGGAGAAAGCACGGATTGACTTGTGGCTTCGGGCGTGGTGTGTGCGCAGGAGCGGCGGGGACGCGGACGGCCTGGGCCCCGAGTGGATGTTCTGGCGTCGCCGCCGCTACATACTGGCGCTGCTGGCCTTTTTCGGCTTCGCAGTCTCCATGGTGATGCGCGTCAACATGGCGCTGGCCATCGTCGACATGACCACCAACAAGACCAAGGTTGGGGACAACACTACCTACGCGGTAAGGCACCCTCCCTTTGCAACTTCAAGTATTTTCATTTCCATTTCGCTCTTGCGGAACAAAAGCCTCAGACAGAAAACCTCTTCTTCTAGGAGAGGCAATGCAAATTGAACAACAGGTATTCCCCGAGCGTCACTAGAAAAGCGGCACTCTCGTATTTTGGATGCGTGGTGCAGCAACCTAAAAACTGTGGATTTTTGAATCCTAACTTTTTCTGAGAGCAATTTGTTTCCTTACTTATGTCGATGTAATTTCGAATTAATATTAGTTAACACACACCTTTTGCCATTAAAATATATTAATGGAGAATTAAACTTATCGTTATTCTTGGAAATATTGTAAGACATATTTTTGATTTCAGAGTATTTTAAATCCTATTTTACGGCTCTTGAGTCAGCTTGAATTTCAAATTGAATAAGATTAATTTACATTAATATATATGTTACAAAATATCAATATAAAAGACAATGTGAGACAAAGTAAACAAAGTAAACAGGTGCTACAACTTGTACATCGCACATACTTCCTCGTACTAATAGTAATGGTTACTTAACTCGTTTTTGCTCGAGTTTATTTTGTTTACATAATTATACTTTTAGCAAATAAATTATGACATAGATGATATATAGTTGTTCTGAATGAAAATTATCGTTTCTTGTTATCATTTTCAAAATATGGACTGTTTGAATATTGGAACACCAGGCACGAACTTCTCCAGAGTTTTTCAAGAAATATGGCCACACCTATAATACGTATCTATTTATTTAAATTTAAAAAAAGACTACATTTGATTTATATTCAATATCAAATTAAAAACGAAATAATTAGTATGGAGTATGAAACCCTTTTCATGCAATTTCGTGTTACATTTTTCACATTCATTGGTTGTGTTCTTTTTACACATTGCACATTTTCCTTACTTTGTGACTGTGAAATACAGTGTCCTGAACTATCAAAACAGAAAGTATAAACGAGATATTAGTAATCTGCTAGTTTTAGGCCTTCCACCTGATGTGGGTAAACTTTTATGCTTTTGAATATAATTTTGAAAAATAGATCTTCTGAAAGAAAAGCGATCCATTTTTTGACATTGCTCTGTCTTTCTAAAGCTGCTAGCTATTGTGAAAAGCTGTATCAAAGCAGAACATGAATGCAGGACACCACCGCTTTTTCGATCTGATTTCAGTTCTATAGCACTCCGAATTTGCGTCCATTCTATCAACACCTCCCATGAATTTATTAAATTTTCCTAAAGTTTTACGTTGCACAATGGGAACTTTCTTTTTCTTACATGAAAGCCATATCGAATCGGTTTACCACAAACGAATTGCTTGGTTACATGCTTCCCATGATCTCATCTACAGCCAAGTGTTCTTCGCAAATGCCGTATTTTGCAATATCGTTTATTCAGTAAGGAAATGCGAGGTGTTAATTTTGCAAATCAGTCATTTTGTTTTCAGGTCATTGACTGCGCAACTAGCATCTATTTTTTTATCACCTGAAACCTGTTTCTTCTAATTGCCGAACTGACAACTTCATTACGACATTCTTGACGGAGTATGTTTCCCTAAACAGTCATTTTGGTACAATATTGTATCCTGATAAAATCAGGATTCCAACGACACATTTTGCTTCCTCAAAAGAAAGTGTAAATGTGTAATCACCTTTCAGATAATGCGACAATTCTTGTAAGAGTCCCAAACATCATCAAAAAATATTTCAAAACAACACTGGGTTATTTGGTACTATACTTAAGTTAATCGTAGTAATGAAATTTGTAAATTCGCGATGTATGTCAATTTTTTACCTCTTTCTTACGTTCGAAACACACGCGTAAAGAGAGTGTCTAGAGCCAAATTACTCTCTGGTTCAGGCTTGAAAGAATCTTTCGGACTCACTAAATCGCATAATTAGTGCATGTTCCGATCTAAGTTGGTTTCCAGGCAGATTTTTCAATATGCCGCCAGACTTCATCACCACTGGCCTCCAACACTGATACATATCTAATACTTAGTATACATATGATCATATAGATGATCTGATACTTATGTACCTATGATCTTGTACTCTGTACCTACGATCTTCTGTAGGCATAATAAAGATAGCTGCACTGAAATAATCAGTATCCTTTTCCAGAATTGCAATTATTTGTTCTGTTGTAAATAGTCAGAGAGAAGAAAGATGATTTTTTTAAAATAATTATTCATGTTACCGTTTGTGCTAGGTGTTCCAATATTGAAACATTTCTGAAAAATCGTCTCCAGCTCACCTAAATAGTAATATTTTCAAGATTTGTAACTTTACAAAACAAGAACAGTCATTAACAATTCTCATAGGAACAAAAAGTTAAACATAAAATATAACTCGATTGTTTTTTACCCATTATCATTCATGGTGCTACCAGTGAAACGTCGGCTCAATAAACCCTCTCCTCTCAGCGTACAAACGTGAAATAACATCAATTCTTAGCTCTATCGGGAAATTTGATACCTCTGCTACAGTTCTAGGAATATAATGAAACCTCAGTGTGCGTTCGGCGATAAGGAGGAATCAAAGAAAAATCCACTGTCACTTGTTCCAATAATGGAACACCAGGAAAATATGAGTTAATATTAAATTGCACCTTCTTATCTGCTAATACTTCAGCTCTCACTCCAAAAATTTTGAAGCAAAAATTGCTTTATTTAAAGAAATGTTTTTTAAAGAAATAAAGGCTCATTTTTGAAAAAAATCGTGTGTATATTTTTTTTTAAATTGTCACCCTTGTATTGAAAATTACTCGAATACTACTCATGTTAAAAAAAATACATGATATTAATTAGAGATCTAATTTTAGATAATAGTTTCAATTCATACCAAAACTCTATCTTCAAGAACGTAATGGCAACATAAGATTTTTTTCATTTGTAATTTTTTTTAAATTTGTAGATTTTAATGAACATTTGATCTTCTCCATTTTTAAAGATGTCAATTGGAGAAAAAAAAGGGCAAAAATTAAAGTCACTGGGGCGACGAATTTGAAAATGAAGAAGCTTCATGTGGAGTATACCCGAAAATTAAAATATCCGTTTCAAATGTAAAGGGCCGTGACATCAACAACAAGAACCCACGAAACGTGAATTATGTCTACACAACGTATTAGAGAAAACAATTTACTACTTGACCTGTTTCACCGGTGTCTCATAAAGTGTCTAATAGTCTATCCAGAAGTTATCTTACTGATATGTTGAGAATATGTTTTACGAGTGCCTGATAAATCTATCCAGTTGTTAAAGAGTTCAGTAAAAAATCAGGTTGGAGAGGCTGTTAAATGTTTATCTGGTAGATAAATTCCACAATAACAGAAATTGTGAACTTGTGCGTAAACGTGCTGTGATTTTCAAGGAATAACTGTGGTATTTCCATGACGGACAACGAAATAGAGATGATCGACGACGAATTATTTGATGGTTTACAGTGACCACCCAGACATGTCAGCCAGAATATTTAGAGATCCTTGACGAACAAGATTGCAAATCCTGTTTTAGGTTAAGGCTAAATGTCCCGACACTAGTACAATATGTAGCCACCACGTGGCAGCTCCAAAGTAAGTAAAATTTACTTCACTGATAACGTTTGAACCAATCGTCCAATTTTCTATCTGTAAACAGCTTTTGACGCCTTTATAAAATAGAATTTACGCTACGAAGCCCTTTTTCCAAAAAACTTGCAAAAATTTCAATATTAATTACTTTTCAAACTTTCGAGAAAAAATTAAAAAATTAAGGCTTATAGCGCGATGGCGACATGCTTCCAACGCGGTGACAATCATGCAAATCGGACGAATAGGAGCGTCGTAAAGTGAAATTTAGGAAAACATTTCGCCCCCTCTCCACCTTCCGTGCTGTTGCGTCACCCACCCGTTTGTTGTGGGCCCTCTGTCGGCGCCACGGCACGGCCAGGCCAGGCAGCGTGCGGCTAGCCCCAGTGGGGCGGGACTTGCGGGATACGCAAGCCAGACAGTTGGTTTATGCTTTCGTCACTTTGTATCTCAATCTATTTTTCCACAGATACCAAACTAGAGATGCTATACTACTATTACAGACCGAGACAAATGTTCTATAATAGTAGTACATAACTATCTTTTTCACATATTTCCGTCTTCCTTCGAATACCATCTTAAAATTGTTTGAGACATTACTCAAAATATCGATTCCAATTTGGAACCAATCGTCCGTTGGAAATGGTTTTTAAAAAAATGAACTAATTCTGTTAATATCACCATTATTCCACCTCCTCACATCTTATTTTAGATACATTTTACTTTTAAGATCTTCTGTTATCATTCCACCTTGCTCTAAGATCTTCCGGGTTCCAATACCGAACAGAATGAGCGGATTCGTAAACGCACGAGCTCTTTTATCCTACAACTCGATTTTTGGTCTCAAAACGACGTTAACCTGCTTTAAAGAGTTCATCTGGTCAATCTCTCTTCCCAAGTGAAATAGCCGAAGCTAATTTCAAAAATATTTTCGTACTTTCGGACAAATTTAAAAAAGTGCATGATCTAGGCTGTCCGGGTGACGTCGCGTCGAAGGCTGTGTTGCCGACGTTTTGACCATTTTGTCGTGGTCTTCTTCAGGGTTGGTATGTCCATACATACAGGTTGGTATGTCCAAGGCATAAAAACCAAGATTTCTTCCCCTGTATCTTTGAATAGTTCGATTTGAATATTATCTACAACTGGGGACTTCCCATATGTCTGTGGTTTTGTCGCCCTATGCATTTCTTCTATCGCTGGTTCTTTTTCGTAATCATCTATATTTATCCACTACTCTATTTGTAAGTTCTTCACACAAAACTTTTTCGTGTATTCTTTCCATCTTTTCGTGATCTCTTCCTTTGTTCTATTTATTTTGTCGTTCTCGTTCTTAACATTCGCCATTGTTGGATTCGTGGTCATATTTCAGGTGACCTGGAAAATTTCTTAAGATCTCCATTTGTTGTTATGTTCTTCCACT